AAGAAGAGGGGCCACCGATTTTGGTGGTCCGGGCATTGAGACAACATCAGCATACACGCATGTATATCTACACATACGTGTGTCTAGTTATTCTTATGTTATGGGATCTCTCTTTGTATCCTGCTGCCTCCTGTAATCCCGCCACCGTGCCAGCTCAGCAGTCTTGGTGCCAAGAGGCCCCCAGCAGAAGGCAGGGCGGTCTGCTGGGGGCCTCTTGGGACTGAAGGCTCGAATGCTTGATTCGTGCTCGCACTCTTGGGCCCTTCTAAGGGCTGTCTGGCGGCCATCTTGGGCAGCCGTGCGTGCATCTTGGGCTGTCTTGAAGCCCTCTTGGTTGGTATTGGAGCTCTCTTCGGGGCCTCTTGAGCCGTCTAGGGGGCAGTCTTGGAAGGCTCGTTGGCAGTCTTTGAGCGTCGGATGCTTGAAAAGGCGAGAACCCCAAACACATTGAAACATCTACAGAACATCACGTTTTGTTTCCTCTCGGGGCTCTCTTGGGGGCCTTTTGGCCCTCGTGGGGCCTCCTCAGCCCATTCTTGGAGGCTGTGAATGTCAGTTCGTGTTCACCCTCGTTTTGAGCCCGTCTGAGAGCCCTCTTGGGGGCCTCTGGGTCCGTCTTGGGGCAGTCCTGGGGGCCTCTCGGGTCGACTTGGGACGCCGGAAGTTCGAAACGTCGAGAGCCCGAGACACAATGATCAACGTTTAGAAAATCAATGCTTTTTGTTTTGCCCTCTGAGGCCCAAGGATCTTGAGGCGTTCTTGGGACGCCTCGAAGGCCTCGTGGGCCGTCTTGAAGCCATCTTGGCTCGCCTTGAGGCTACGTTGGTCCGTCGTGGAGCGGTACTGGGCCGTCTTGGAAGCACCTGGGCCTCGGAGGCGCGCGCCTGTCGCACTTTTGCACGGGACCGTGGTCTCGGGAAGGGGGGGGCGGTGCATGCAGGTACGTGCTGCCGGGAGAGAGGGGGGGGGACCTAGAGTAATTTCGCGGCAGCATTTTGAACCTCAGCGCGTCTCACGATGCCATGGGGCACGGTGGCGTATACATACATATATATATATATATATATATGTATATGTGTGTTTAGGTATATGCATATGTGTATATTTAGACATAATTATAATCATGTTCCGGTACATACATTCCATACATGCACTACTTACATCTACACGTATGCACATACACATGTATACATTTACATGTGTATATATATATATATATATATGTATAGATTCATGTGTAGTCATATGTTAGCGGGTGAGCAGGAGGATGAGCAGGCCGAAAAGGGAAATGAGGGGTGAGGACGAACAGCAGCAGCAAGCAATGGAAGGGAAGGATCGGGATGAGCAGGATGAGCAGGGGAAGGCGGAGGAGCCCTGCAGGAGGAAAGGAGAGAGGATGAGGAAGAATGAGGAGGATGAGGACGAACAGCAGCAGCGGGAACTGTGGAAGCAGCGGGATGATCAGGAGGACCAGGGGAAGACACAGGAGGGGAACGGAGAGGGCGAGAAGAATGAGGAAGGACTCGGATCAGGAGAAGTGGCCCACGCTGGGGCGAGAGCGCCGTCCTGAACGACGGGAGCAAAGCGCCGATTCGAAAACACGCTGCATGGGGAGCACAAATTTAACATACCGAGACCGTTCCCATGGCCAAACAAACCAACAATTCTGTGTATGAGCGACACTCGGCGGCGAGGGCCGAGCATCATCCGGACAGCGCCTGGGGAGAGAGAAGAGTAGTATTCGAAATGTGTAAATGTTGAGGCGGGGCGTGAACGAGACCTCGTCTTCGTCCGCGCGTAGGGTGGAGGAGGAGGAGGAGGAGGCGGAGGAGCAGTTGGCTTTATGTGTAGGTCTGTGGCCCGTCTGACGACTTCGGGGGCCATCTTGGGGGGCCTCTCTGGGCCGTCTTGGGGCGCCTTCGGGCCGTCTTGGGCCCTTCTTGGGAGGCTCTTGAGCGATCCTGGGGTCCTTGGGTCGGCATGAGGGTTATCTGGGGGGGCGTCTTGGGCAGTCTCCGGTGGTCGGACACCGAAACAGGTGAGATCCTCAACATCCTTCAAAAACTTAGGGCAGGTCAGTGTGGTTTGCCTCCTCGCGGGCTTCTTTGGGGCCTCTAGTAGGCCTCTTGGGAATTTCTTGGCAGTCTTAGCGGGCTCTTGACCTGGCTCACCCATTCGGAGGCTGTCTAGGGGCCTCCACGTGGGCCGTCACGTCGCCATCTTAGAGCGCCTTGGGGCCGTCTCGGGGCCCTCTGTCTGGAGGAGGTTCTAGTGCGATCCTAGGGTCCTCCTGGGCTGACTTGGGGCCCTCTGCGGGCCTCATGGTTTTCTTGGAGTTATCTAGGAGGCCTCTCGGTTCATGTTAGAGGGTCGGAGGCCCAAACGCATGAGAACATCAATCTGCTTCAAACATTTGAGTGGCATCGCTGTACTGTGTGGTTGCCTCCTCGGGCGTTCCTGGAGAGCCTCTCGGAGCCTTCTTTGGCCGTCTTGGAACCCTTTCGAGCCGTCTTGAGGCCGCCGTGGGAGCCTCTCGAGCTGTGTTGGGTCATCTTGAGTCGTCTTGCTGTCATCGCGGCTGTTTGGGAGGGCTTGGAGCCCGTCTTGGCCGCTGGCAGGACGAAAAGAGCACTGGCGAGCAAATCCACACAGCCGAGCTTATAACCGCGGGCGCGCGACGAGGAGGGGGCGGCCCTTGAACACACGGAAACACGTCCTACACAACACAGGCGCACGCTAACACGCTTTTTCCGTGCTGGCATTGTTGCGGATACACATATGTATGAACACACACACACACACACCTATATCTACATGTATATATATATATATGATTGAGGGACAAATATGCTCTATGCGTCCTTTGACCTTTTCAAATACGTTTATTTGATTTAAGTTGAAAGAAACATTTCAAGAATATGAAGTACTTAGGTTTTCAATTACATTGTTTAAAATATTTAAATTATTTAAAGTATTTAAATTATTTACATTATTTGAATTATTCCTGGCATGCAATTTCTCGCGTATTAGCATTTCGACGGAATTAAATAATTCAAATAATTTAATAATTGAAATAATTTAAATAATTTGAATAATTTAAATAATTTAAACAGTTTGAATAATTTAAATTATTTAAATTGTTCAAAATATTTGAATTATTTAAAATATATAGATTATTTGAATTATTCAATTCCGTAGAAATCCGAAGGCGCGAGAATCTGCATTCCAGGAATATTTGAATAATTGAAATAATTGAGATAATTTGCATAATTTAAATAATTTGAATAATTTAAATATTTCAAATAATTCAAATATTTAAATGAGTTGAATTATTTAAATTGTTTAAATTATTTCAATTATTTGAAGTATTTAATTCCGTCGACATCCTAAGGCGCGAGAATCTGCATGTCCAGGAATATGTAAACAATTCAAATCATTTGAATATTTTAAATAGTTTAAGTAATTTAAGCAATTTAAATAATTTACATTATTTAAATTATTTTACATTATTTGACTTATTTAAATTATTTAAATTATTAGAATTATTTGAATTATTCAATTCCGTCGAAATCCTAATGCGCGGGAATCTGCATTCCAGGAATAATTTAAATACTTTCAATACTTAAAATAATTTAAATTTATTAAATAATTTAAATAATTTAAATAGTGTGGGCGCGCTTGTCTGCCGAGCCGCCTGCCAGCATATTTAAATAATCTGAATAATTTAAATAATTTAAATCGCTCGGGCTGGTTAAAATTAATTAAATTATTTAAACTATTTGAATTATTTGAATTATTTAAATATGCTGGGACGCGGCTCAGCAGGCTGGCAGACCCTCACGATTTGAATTATTTAAATTATTTGAATATCGCCCCGTCAGAAATAATTTAAATAATTTAAATCATGTAGACATGTTTGTTTGCCGATCGACAGAGGGTTCTGGGAGGGGGGTCTGTGCGGGTGGCCCTGCGCGGGGGGTGATCCTGGGTGGGGACGGACCTGGGCGGGGGGGTTCTGGGCGGGGGGTCCTGAGGGGGCGGGAAGGGATATGCCCTGAATACGCTTGACGCTGATGCTTTTGACTCAGACGATGTATCCGAACGCAGTAGGGAAGTACATAGTCTCGCAATGAAAACGCTTCCTATGGCGGGGAGGTCGATTGACCTTCCGCGTCGCAACCCTCGTAGTTCAAAGCGCCGTCAGAATCCCCTTCACCCTCGGCGTCGTCCTCCGGCACCCGCTCCGTGATCATGATCTCCCGCTGGGTCGCGTTGTCCGTGCCGAAGAGGGCTGCGACGTTAATCCGCTTCATATATGAGATCCAGTCAGGGCGTTCGGTGTTGGGCGCCGAGGATTCGTTCGCCTCAAGACGCCTCCATCCCACTTGCTGTAACTGATCTGGTGATGCCGAATATGGGCATCTCTCAGATATAGCTGCTGCGGTACGAAATTTATCTAGTACGTTCTGCGCGCCCATGAGGTCCCGCGAGACTTGATCAGGCGGAACGGGCGACTGCCTCGGCGAGTGGGTCGGCGCCGCAGTGGCAGGCTCATCGGCGGACGCCATGGGCGCGGGGGGGGCGCGCCAGTGGGATCTGAAGATCGCGCGCAGAAAAGTTTGAGATGTAGTCAATTGGCTCTGGGGATAATGGCATGAGAGAGCTGGCCGAATGGCATGAGCGAGCTGAACAATTAGACTGGGCGACTGAGCTGCAAGGCCGACCTGACCGAGCGGGGCGGGAAGCGCCTTGCCTACTTAACTCGACATGCAAATATTTTCCACCGTCAGATCTAAATAATGAATGCTGATCAAAACTCTCAGATGTCGCGTGAGAAGCGCCTCAGAAGCGGCACGAGGTCTGAACGTTTTCCTGACACTAGACAACCCTCGCAACCGCATTAAACAGCTGGGCCTGTTGCTACTTCTTAGATATCCACAACTGAAATGCTTGTACAGGCACTACTGGGTCATGCGTCAAAGCTGCGAGCGGAAGGCGATCTAACGGATGACTCGCTTCCTATTGAAGGGAGTGCGCTTGACCCCCTTCATTGCCGCCGGCCTCTTCTGCGCAGCCTTCATTGCCGCCGGCCTCTTCCGAACGATAGATTTAAAGTTCTTACGATCCTTTGCCCACTGCTTGGCCAATGGCTGAGAAGCCTTCCGCTGGGCGCTCTTGGGCAGGCACGCCTTCGCAGGCGCGCCAACGCCCGATGCCTGCGCCGCGCAGATGCGCTGCCATTCGTCAGGGGATGCGAGCTGGCGGCCCATCGCAGTCGCGAGCACAGTCTGCGAGGTGAGCGCTCTCAGAGCTGGCGCGTACATGGCGGCGTTGTGCGCGATCAGCTTGGCGTGGGTGGCCGCCGCCAGCTGCAGTTCCAGCGTCTCAAGGTAGAGCTCGGGCTGGTTGCGGAACCACTTGTTGACCTCGGCGTGCAGCGCCTCGTTCGGCGACGTGCCAGAACCAATCAGCGATTGGCACTTCTTGGGTAGGGAGTGGCGCATCCGCGTGTTGTTGAACAAGAACTGCGCCCGCTCCACCGACGTAGCCGACCAGAGCACATCTACTAAGAGCCGCCCGCTCGCCGTGCCCCGGTTCACCTGGGGAAACGAGATCATCGATATGCAGATCTCGATCATGCGACCGACGGCGGCATTGACAAACGGCGAACGGACGAACGAATGGGAGCGATCGGGGAGAGGAAAGCATCTCCACAAGTGGCCTCATCCCAGTACACTGATGTAATAGCCGCCGTGGCTCTGACGAAATCATCGGTGATCTTAAAAGGCTCTTCCCCGTTCAGATTGTCCAGGAGGCGCTGCGCCTCTCGGCTGGGCATGCTGCCGTTCTTCACTGCGTCCCGACTTCTGTTCTGATCTGGGGTCAGAGGTTGCAATTGTCCGCCAGTATACGCTGGGCCCCACGCGTCCGAGGTAGCCTGATAATCAATATTGTTGAATTTGTTCAGAACCGTGCGCAGCGCTGTCTGCCCTGGCCTCGGCACAGTCTCACTGGGGCGGTCATGGCGACCGCAGATGCAGACGATCGACGATCGGAATCTTCGAACGACGACAACGATCATGGAGGTGGCACGATCGGCATCGGGCAACAACTAAGCCTACGGCGTATGTTTTTTCCAGTGAGCCGAGTTGTAAACGATGGCTAGGTGCACTGGGTCCAAGCTGAGCCACGTCAGATTCTTGCAGATCTCTAGCAACTGGCCGTACAACTCACCAGAAGGTTCGTCCGTCGCGATCGAGCGGCACTGATCGAGAGCTGCTTGTGGAAGACGCATCTGAAGCATATCCTTGATGTTCCGCGCGGCCTCAGACGCGATCGGCCACATGCCTGCGACGGCCGCCGTGCGGCCGCGCACCGTGAGGATGCGCCTCTTGGCCACCGTGTCGTCAAATGGCGCGGCGGCTCTCTTCTCCGCAGAGTCCCGGTAATTCGCCTGCCCTTTGATGCGCATGGCCGCCCTGATGGCGGCGTCGATCGACACGTGCACGAACTCGTCGTGATCGAGCAACTGCTGCATGAGTTGATCGCGCGCAGCGCGAACAAATGGCGCGCTGAGGAGATCTTCCAACAGCTCCAGCCATTGGGGGACCTTCTGCGGAAGCAAGTGCGTCAGCTGCGACCCTGCCTCCGCGCATCTCACCACGATGCGCGCGCGAGTGGGCCGAACGCGCCCGTAGTTCAGCATGAACTCCTTGAAGAAAATCTCCGCGAATGCGTGGCTGTAGTACGTATCCCCGACACGCCTCGCCAGCGTCGTCGGGCCCTCGAACGGCCAGGACTGGACAGCGGCTGCGTTGATGAACGTCGGGCCAGCGCCGTCCAACAGGAGACGGATGTCGCGATCAATCCTGAGGCAGGTCAGCGCAGGCTTCACACTCTGTCGCAACATCTGGGCACTGCGTTCGAGATACCGTCCCTGGCTTTTTCCCTGGCATCGGTCGGAATCGAACATCGCGAAGACCATCTTCATCTGCTTCGTGCCAGACGCCACGTAGTTACCGCAGCCCATCTGCCTCGTACCAGTTCGTTGGCTCTTCTTCTCTGGGTTATGATAATTCGACAGGTGCGTCAGCAAGTTCCGCTTCGCCTTGGGGCTGCTCATGTCGAACTCCTTGAAGGGGCAGAGAATGCAACGCGACTGGCGGCCGCGACCCACGGCCGCTTTCGCGGCGTCCACCTCCGCCTTCAGCGCCCGCAGTAGCTCGGAGCGTACGTCTACAGTGCCTTCGTCACAGCTCTCCTCGTCGCAACTGGCTTCGCCGCCCTCGTCGTCTCCAGCGGCCAGTAGATCCAGCAGCCCGTCCAACTGCGCGCTCTCGTCATCGTCAATGCCATCATCCAGGCGGAAAGCCACGACCGTCTTGATGTCGAGCGCGCTGGCGTAGCACTCCGCGAAAACGGACACGCTCATCTTCTGCGCCTTGCCTTTCTCGCAGATCACGACCTCCCCGCATTGGATCACCGCGCCGACGCAGCGCGGAAGCCCGCCGTTCTCCGCGTGAAGAAGGTAGCACCCCTCAGTGCAATCCTGGAGACTGGTCCGCGGGAAAAATCGCGTGCCCAGCAGCTCTGCCGCGTCGCGGTACTTCCTGAAATCCTCGGCCTGCTGCTCCACAATCTTCTCTCGCACGCTCTGCCACTGTCCAGTCACTGCTGCGAGCGCGCAGGGTATGCAGTTGCCGCGCCGAAACAGCTGGTCGTCCGCACTGCTCGGCGCGCCGCTGTCGTAATCGTCTACCGCCAAGCCCTTCGCGTGCAGCAGTTCGAAGAAATTGAGGTTTTCATTGTGGCGCCTGGAGTTGATGTTCGAACGGGTCGCGGAGCGCGCTGAAGGTGTCGGGGACGGCGAAGACGATGACACAGGGCTGCCGCGCGCTGCTCTTGCCGCCTGGGAGGCGAGGCGACGTCGCTTCCTCGACGGCGGAGTCGGCCCGTCATCTTCCCATCGGCCAACAGCCAGGAGATCCAGCAGCCCGTCCAGCCGCGCGCTCTCCTCAGCATCAATGCTATCGCCCAGACGGAAAGCCACGACCATCTTCATGTCGAGCGCGCTGGCGTAGCATTCCTCGAAATCAAAAACACTCATCTTACGAGCAGCGCCCTTCTCGCAGATCACGACGCTCCCGCCCTGGATCAGCGCGCCGACGCAATGCGGAAGCCCGCCGTTCTCCGCGCGAAGAAGGGAGCCCCCTTCCTGGCAGTCCAGGAGGCTCGCCCGCGGAAAGAATCTCGTGCCCAGCACTTCTGCCGCGTCGCGGTACTTCCTGACATCCTCGACCGGCTGCTCCAAAATCTTCTCTCGCACGCTCTGCCACTGATCAGTCACTGCTGCGAACGCGCAGGGTATGCAGTTGCCCCGTAGAAGCAGATGCTTGTTGTCTTCGTTGCTGCGCGGGCCGCCCTCATCAACGACTGCCGCGCTCTTCGCACGCAGGAGGTCGAAGAAATAGGAATGCTCCTTGTTGCGCAACGTGACGGCGTAGCCGGTGGCGGCTTGAACTCGCTCAGAGCAGCCCGAGCAGAAATCTCCCAAGCTCCCCGTCGCGGCGACGCGGTCCACGTCCACGCGCACGCCGTCGAAATGCAAGGACAGGTGCTTCACGCGCTCCTCGCATACGAAATTGACGACGTGCTGCAATATGTTGTTCTCTACGCCCTGCCATAGATAACTAAATGTAGAAGCCTCCGCCCGTTTCCCCTCCTGCTGTTGCATCGCGCGGTGCACGTCAGGCAGCAGCGAAACCGCCAGCCACCTCAGCATCCTGGACGCCCTGGACAGGGCAGCAAGGAACTCATTCCCCTTGAAAGCAGCGGGCGCGGATGCCCCGCACGCGACCTCCAAGGGAATCCTTTTGCCGACAGACATTCTCACGCCGAGTTCCTGCTCGCAAACTTCGCGCCGATTCTTTTGGAGACGATCAAGGACTGCAAATTCTTCTGCGAAAACCTTCTCGTCCAGGAGGCTCAGCCGCTTCAACATCTGCGGAAGGATGCAGAACAAGAAGTTCTCCATGTCCAAATCGAACGTGTTGGTGAGCAAAACCTTCTGCAAGCGCTGGCCCATGGACTGCGCGCCCACTGAGTCGTCGACGAAGAGGCGAGACCTCAGGCGAAGCCGCATCCACCGAGCGTGCGCCAATTTTACTCATTGGGCCCGCCTCCCTCCCCCTCCTCATAATTCCTCACGATCACTCAGACGACTCGAGATCCACTATGGACCGCATATCGAGATCCCGATGCTGATCGATTCACCGCACGTCCAAAATGCAGGGTCTACGACCGAGCCAAGGTCAAAATTTAAGGTCGCGGCGGCCACTCCACCTTGTGATGGTACCCCGTGGAAACCGTAGTCGGAACCTCGTCGTCGAAATGAGCCGACTCCCCCTGCGAGCTCGGGCCGCTGCCCTTGGCCGAAACGCGCCTCCTCTTGATTTCCTGAACGCGCTTGTCCCTGCTCGCCAAAGTATCGATGAAAGACTCCGTGCGTCGAACTGATTCAGCCCTCTCCGACCACGCCGCCTCGCGCGCAGCCTTCTCGGCAGCCTGTCGGCCGGGGCGCCGAATGCCTTTGCCCAGTGCATCCGCCAGAACCATAGCGTTAGTTTTGCGAGCTCCGTGCTCAAAGAATACTGACCGAAAGGACCTCATGTCGTAAACCTCTGGGTAGTTGCACGCGCCCATCAAGCTCTCGTCGATCAGCGCGCTCATGCCGTTCTTGGTGCGTATGCGCGGCGCGATGCGATCGGCCGCCTTGCCCACTGTTCCGATGCCCACCCATAGGCCCTCTGTCTGCAGGCGCTGAAAGGCCTTCGGCTTAGGGGCAGGAAGCTTGCAACTGGTCGGCAGAGTCATCGCCTTGAAAGCTGGAAGCGTAAGGAAGTCCATGTTTTTCTTTTGACATTCTTGAACGAGTGCCATGCTGAAATCTAACCACTCCAGGGGGGCTTTGCACCCGTGCTCCTGCGAGTTGGGCGCGTCGATCTCCGCCTGCAGGGACCCAGCCACGTTCGACGTCTTCTCGAGGAGGCCGCAAGCCTGCCGCAGCGACTTCTCCGTAATTCCTCGATCGCCACCGCAGCGGGCATACCGAACGATAATGTCGCGACGCGCCTCCGCGCCGTTATCGTCCTCGAAGGCGAACTGCACTCGATGCCCAGCGGCGACGCCGACGGAGGACATGAGAAACTCCTTCGCATCTGGGTCGCGGGCGAAGATCCCGGCGGCCGCGGCGTCGCCGAAGTTCTGCTCCACATACATGCGATCGAAAAACCGCGCCTGTATCTTTACCACGGCAAGCCTGCGCATCAACGACTCCACGTTCTGCTCAGTGATATCGTCGAACACCAGGAACTTGTTGACCTCGAGTCTCTTCCAACCCACAATGCGAAACATCTTGGTCAAGATTGAATACGGAAGTCTTCCAGAAACACCCTCCGCTGTGGCAAATTTCTTGAGTGAGTCCTGGCGGCTCGGCGCCAAGGCGACGCGGCGGCGGCTCTCGCGCCCCGACACTGAAGAGCGCGACGCGGGCGGCGCGCTCTTCGGCTGCCGGGGCGCGAGTAACCAATATACCAGCCGCGGCGCGTTTGACGCCAGAGCCGCAATCCTCCCGCATCGTTCCGCGTTGTCCGCTGGGTCGTTCTTGACCTGTGAAGATAAAGCCGTCGGCCAGCAGCTCGACCACCTTGCGTAACTCGTCATCGACGAAAAATACATTGGGATCAAAGTATTTGTGATTCTTGTGGCCGTACATCGCCTCCAAATGGCTCGTAAGCAGACTCAAACCGACGCCGCCAGGTCCCCAATACACTGTGATAGTGTCAACGTTGTAGCCTCTCTTCGCGAGCGCCTGGGCCGCCTGCCCGAACACGAAAGCATCTGGAATGGACCAGAACGTCTGTGAATATATCTTCTGCACGCGGACCACCGCCGCGTCGAGCACGGGGTCAGTGGACAGGAGCTGCAAGCGGATGCCAATGTAAACCGAGTTCTCAGGTGATCGCTCAGAAGAAAATGTCACAGGATTACCCAGCACATCGTACTTCACGATGCAGTCTTCGTAGGCGACGCCAGCAGATCGCATGGTGTCCTGAGAGCACCATTCAATAAAGTACGACATGATTTGGCTGCTGAGAAGTTCTGTCTGTAATTTGGTCGATACCTTACTGATTGTCTGGGCGACTGCGATGTGCCACGCGTCGGAGGCCCTGGTGAGGTCGTCGCCTTCGGCGTCCTCGGCACCCCGCCCCCGCCCCTCGCCTTCGCCCTCGCCATCGGGTGCCTGCGCCGCAATCCCCTTGCCCTTGCCTTTTGCTTTCTGCAAGATCGCATTGCCCTTGTTGAACACGCAGTTGTCGCGGAACGAGACGAGCGCGGCCGCCTCCTTAACTGCGTAAGATATGTCTCCGTTGATCTTCGCAACCGCGTTCTCAACCGCGCTGTCGATGGCAGTGATCCCGGCGGAATCCACTCGCTCCACGCCGCACGGGGAATCCCTGAATATTCCTTCCAGAGTCAGCATGAAGCGAGACGCCGCGAAGAGCAGCTCTGGCGGGAGGGGCCGTCGAAAACGTCGAAGTAACCGAGACGTTGATCGTAGAAGTAAGCCCGTCCGTTGTGGGCGCGGAGAAGGCGGTCGCCCAGTATGATCCAGATCATTTGCACGTGCTGCACGGTCCCCACGTCCACTGAGCGCGACCGATACATGCAGAGGGCCGCGACGCCGATGCGCTTGAGGTCCGAGCTCCAGTCAGGGCGCTCCCTCTCCACGATCTGCGTGTACTTCTCGGTGTCGGCGACGAGCCCCGTGTTCTTGGCCACGGACGTCGCGCGCACCTGGCTGAGCCGGCCCTTCTTCGCGTTGACCTTCTGGAATATATCTGCGAAGATGGTGTCCGACTGCTCGGCGCCGTGGATCCTCTTGCGCCTCTCCACGGCCGCCCGCACATCATCTCGACCGCAGTCAGCCGGGATATCGTCATCGGCAGCTGCCAGCACTGCCGCTTCCTGCGTGCTCGGCACCCGCGCGCTCTCCAAGCTGCCCATGAGATCCCGCGAATGCTGAGAGAGCGCGGGGGGGGCCGGCCCAGGCGATGAGGCTGCCGCGGAGGCGGAGCGAATGCGCGCACCCTCTGGAGGAGGATGCCCAGCGGCCGACGCCATCGGGGCCGCGCGCTGCGTGAGCGGGAGAGCAGCTAGCTAAACGGCAAAGAGGCGGGATGCCTCGGGTTGTAGACAATGGCTCTGGAGCTGTGCATTAGAGCTCTGGGCGTCGATGATGATAGAGATGGAGATGTGCCTGTTGCTACTTCTTAGATATCCACAACTGAAATATGTGTAAAGGTACCTTCTGGGTCATGCGTCAAAGCTGCGAGCGGAAGGCGGTCTAACGGATGATCTGCTTCCTATTGAAGGGAGTGCGCCAAGCGTTGGATCTATGCGGTGCAATCTACGCGGCGCAATCCGCGCGTGCAATATATGTGCGCGGCAACTCATGCGATGCATGGATGGCGCGGTTTAAGTAATGCAATCGATGCCTTCGCCACGCCTTCGCCAAAATCGCGAGTTGAATCTACATAGTATAAACTATGCGGCGCAATCCACGTGGTGCAATATACGTGCGCGGCACCCTATGTGATACATGGATGGCGCAGTTTGAGTAATGTAATCTATGCGATGCAAACAATTTGTCAAACGCTATGCGCCCGCTAGTCCTGGTGGCGACCCATGGCCGAGAGCGACGCTATGGGCCGTTCTTTTTTCAAATCTCACGAGTGGTGCAGGAGCTCTGCATTAGAGCACTGGACGTCGATGGTGATAGATTAAAGAGACGATTCTTTTTCCAGCGGCAATGACCGGCAAGGCGTTCCAAGCATTGCTGCAGCGAGGTGCTCGGGCGCAGCGAACAGCCCTGCACCACAGGATCCGCGCGCGCTGCGCAACTGCTACAAAGTGTCACCCCTCTAAATGATGCAATCCAGCGCGCGCCCCTCATTTCCTGCTCCCATCCAAGCCCTTGCGCGTGTCAGCCCGCCCTCCCATGGGACGCGCCGCGCGCTCCACGCGCGACCGCGCGCAGCTGCTGCAGTCAGGACGCGGCCCAGCCACTCGCGCGGCCGCGGCAGGGCCGGCCGCCGCCGCGGCGCCGGCCTATCTCAGTTATTACCCGACACTTTGGCGCAGCATCGGCATGGATAAGCCAGGCGGCACGGCATCGCACCTGGCACGAAACTGTCCTTGGGGACGATCAGGGGAGAAATGGTGTCGTCACGGTCAGCGCAGCAATAGCTCCGACCGAAAGCCTCCGCCGCGGGCAGCGCCTTGGCCAGGGGGCCGACGCACTCGAAGTACTTATCACCCTTGTTTGCGAAGCCATAGCCACGAAACAAGTGAATCTCTTCGACGACGATCTGCTTTTCGTCGAAGATCAGCCGGTAGCAATCCCCGTAAGAACGGCTGGTCTTCGGGGGCCCATCGCATCCGACCTTCAGAACGATGCGGGTGTACGGGATGCTGAAGTCGGGGTGCTCTGAGAACCGCGTGGCGACGCCGTGGTAGAAGGCGCCGCCCCACGTGAGCGTGTCAGCCACATACACGCCGACGTCCGTGCACTCGTGGATGCGGGTGTCGCTCGAGTTCTTAAGCCCATATTGTAGAATGCTGGGGAGGCAGTGGAACGTCGTCCCGTGCCAGTACGACTTGTAGCTTGCCTTCGTGGGGAAGGTCGTTTCAAACACCATATGTTCCACCCAACCGCCCTTTGGCTCTCTGAAGACATGCTGATCGCCCTCCTGGTGCTTCACGTTGGGGAGTCCAGCGACGAACCGCATCCGCAGGTCCTGTGACGAGATATTGCCGTGCAGCCACTTAGTCATCCACTTCTGCACATTGGTCGCGTTCCAGCGGTGCAGGGCAGCGTGCGTCTCATGGGCAGAGTGCTCAAATACCGGAGACGACATCGCGGCCGCAGCTGAGTCGGGCAACCTGGGATGGAGCGCGAAAGCGGCGTCGGGCCTGCTTGAGCCACGCAAGTCTACTGATAATATTCAGCAATCCTGCGAGTGAGCGGGGCGGCAGAGTCCGCGAGGCTACCGAAGCCGCTGGCGGCCTCTCGGCCTCTCT